TTTTTTTTTCAGAAAATTTTTAGAAAATTTGTTTTTGCTTGGTCTTGGGTCAAAGGTTGGCGTACCAAAAAAGTATATTTTTTCTGAATTTTAACTACAAAAATGGACATAGCTAAGTATTTTAAGCACAAATGAGTGCATTTTCAGTCATTTTTGAGAAACTTATTTCTGGAGATGTGTTCGGAAATTTATTGGTATTCTGTGATCAAAGGTTGGCGTACCAAAAAAGTATATTTTTTCTGAATTTTAACAACAGAAATGGACATAGCTAAGTATTTTAAAACAAATGAGTGCATTTTCAGTCATTTTTGAGAAACTTATTTCTGGAGATGTGTTCGGAAATTTATTGGTATTCTGTGATCAAAGGTTGGCGTACCAAAAAAGTATATTTTTCTGAATTTTAACTACAAAAATGGACATAGCTAAGTATTTTAAGGCAAATGAGTGCATTTTTAGTCATTTTTGAGAAACTTTTATTTTCGGAGATTTATTCGGAAATGTATTGGTAAAGTATTATACTGTGATCAGGTATTTATCCACCCAATTTATCCACCCCAAAAGGGGTGGTCATTTTTAAGAAACTTTTATTTTTGGAGAAGCAGTTTTAAAGTAGGCAACTGGACTCACCAGAAGTGAGTCTTGTCCAAGAGGCTTCATCAGTTCCACGTTCCTGGTGGGGAATTTCCAGGTATTTATCCACCCCAAAAGGGGGTGTGTGGTGTTGAGTAATGTGGTCATGGGCCCAAACAATATGACCATTAAGTGGTCATGTGAGTCATTGGCCCTGTGGTGGATCCTTCCCCCTCCCTATCGTCTGAGTGGGGGTTGTTGGAGTTACCTTGAAAAAAAAAAACATTTCATGTTATGTTGGTCAGAAGAAGAAAGTTTTTCATGAAGTTTTGAAAATAAAATTCAAAATATTACCAATTCTGCATGTTTCTTACCAAATTAGAGAATTAGAGCAAATTTCATGCAATTCTTTTAAAAAATAAATATTTTATCTTTTCTGCATGTTTTTCATCATTTTTGAGAAGTTTTTTTTTTTTAAATGTTTTGGATTTTTTCAGCAAGACCCTAATTTTGCTTTTTTTGTTGGTCTAAAGGTGAAAATAATGATTAGTATTTTATTAAAAAAATGTATTTCTGAGAATTTTTTGAGGAAATTATTAGTAAAGTAAAAGTCCAATCAAAACAAACAAATACTTAAAAAATGTAAAGCTAATCTAAAACCTTGAGTGTTTTTTTTACATTTTGGATTAAAGCAAAACAGAAGTCTGGAGTACTGAACTTTTTTATGTTGTTATTTTGTTTGATGCCGATTATTTTGACACATTTCTGCTGCTCTAATCTAAAATATGTAATCCAAAACACACAAATCTGGGCCCTCTGAAGATTGCACATCAAACATAACAATTTCAAATCACACAGTCAATTCACACACCCATCATGATGTTTTGCAACGTGCTATTTTGTCCTGAAAGAAAGATTACCACTGCTCGCCTGAAGTTTACATTTTAAAGACATAATTTCCTAACCTCCAAGTAGGATTACATATTATTTTCTCTTTTCAACATGTTGTGGCAAAACTGAATTAAGACCATAGAGGTTGCAACAGATCTATGCAGTGAAATTGTCCACTGAAGTGTTGCTCTACCAGGAATCCTGGCCTTGTACATTAGGCACACAGCAGGGAGAGATGACTTTGCATTGACTGACTCATTGTGTTCATCATTAAATATATTTTTAGTACGCACTTAGTATTAAGCAGCATCTAAGATCAGCCTAGGTTTTCTACGAATGTGATTTTGTACAGTTCATCGTGTGAGTAGCTTTGACCTGGTTTTAGAGGAAAGTCTTGATTCTGCATATTGTGACTTTGGTTTGACCTTAGTGACAGCATGGATTCTGTATTCTATTATTCTATTTGATTCTATTATTTCTAATTTTGACCTACACGAGGATCTTATGTCCGAATGCTTCCATGATGAATTACATGAATTACATGCATAAAGCCTCACTAATCTTACATTTGTTTCCAAATGATACAAGAGGTTTCCAGGTTGTAGAAGACCCTTGTATACAGTAACTTAGTAATTATCTAGTTTATTGTATTGCATTGTCTCTTTAATGTAATTAGGGTAGGGAAGGGGAAAGGGATCTTCCATCTAGACAGTATAAGACACCAATAGAGGGGAAAAAAAATCACTCAATTGCACTTAATATTTGCTTGTTTCACTTCCTGAACTTGGCTAATTGCCTTATTAATCTCACTAGAGAAGCAGAGGTACTGGAGATGTTCTGTACAGAACCAAGCCATGATATTCCATCAAATGTTATTCAAGATTTTGTAAAAGAAATTGTTTGTTCTTTGTTTGGAAGACTGAAAAATACCTAGACCAACAGACTGGGATCAGTTTGAGGCGTAGCAGCTGTTTCCATCCTATATATCACGATGCACTTATTATTTTTCTGTTAAGATCCTCCAAACCTGGAATCCAAATGAGAAAAAAAACAGAAGAGAAGCACAAGGTCAGTGAAGGTACAAGAAATCTCTGTCTTCAGGAGAATTTGTTAATGTGGACATTAGCGCCTGTCTCCCTTCTGCACACCCCCCTTCTGTCTCCCACTCTCCATCTTCCTTTTCTCCCCACTCTCACACACAATTAGCTGTGCATATGCCAAGGCTGCGTTACCCTCCCTGGATCAGGGTGGCCATTAACATTCTGAAGTGCCTGCTGTGTCTTTGCAGAGCAACTGGGGATGTGCCAGCTTGGCAATTACTTTAACAACTGCAGAGTTTGATTTCTTTATTCAGTTGAACCTAGCCAGGGGTAAAACTAAGGAGAAATATGAGAAAATGGACGTCAAAGGACAAAAGTTTAGGCAGACCCCACAGTTCAGTGGAGAAAAGAAACAGGAAACTTTTACTTTTTTCAGAATATGTGACGGTATAAAACCCAAGGTACACTCACTCACTCACTCACTAACTGGTACATCAGTTATATTTATTTATTAAGAAAATGTCTGATTAACCTGTCATATTACAGCAACTGAGTGCATCAAGGCCAAGATAAACTGTTAAAATCTTGATTGTTTGAGTGTTTTATAATATTGCTGATCTTCTCAGGATTTTCAAACAAAATGTTTCTACTTTTACAGTGAATTGGTAAAATAAGACAAGAAAAAAACCATATGGTAATAGTGCATTTACAAACAAGGACCATGATGGATAACAAAGTACATGGGCTAAAGCAGTGAAAATAGTGTGTTGGTGCTATTCCTTTTAGCTAAGCTAAGGCTACTTACTGTAGTTTCCATACAGCTTTATACAACTGGACAATGTGACATTCAAGTAGCAGAATTACAATTTAGTGTTACTTTTTGGGTGGAGGTGTGGTAGTTAGGGGCGTCATGTCCATCATCTGCAAATGAATATGCAGATGACTGCACTTAAACGGCCTCCTCAATCACTAGATCTCAGGCCAATAATTTACCTTTGACTTCTGTTGGATTAATAAAGACCATTGTGGAAGAGAAGTCAAAAGGAAATTGATGTATCCACAAAAAATGAAGGCAGTAAAACAGCCAAAAGTTACTGGTTATATTTTAAGAGGTGCATGTGATACAAAAGAGGTTCCGTGCATCAATGTCCAAAGGTTATGGCACAATGCGTAGGTCCGTCGCCACCAAATTGTCCTTCAGGAGAACATTAAAACCTCCAATCTGCTCCGTGACTGTCAGGCAGCTGATGTGCTCACATAGAAATGGAAATGAGAGAATGCTGAAGGATCTAATTGCTGGGGGAAGTGGCAATTATGTTGACAAGCTGCTTGATATGACAGACTCCATTATAGCCTTAAGCCTTTATTACATGACTGCCTAGTAAATCACATCAGTGCAGCAGTATTATCATAATGACTCAGTGGAGCTCAGTCTGTCAACTACGTCCCTTGTTCGAGGGGAGATCTCGCAGGTAGCTGATCTTTATGAACTCCCATAAACATGGAAGATGTTGAGGGGATGTGACCACAGACACACTTTCAATTACAGCATCCATTAGGACATCATCCAACGGATGCACTAAACACCAGCTCTGTGGCAATAGCACCTATCAGCCGTCATGAGCATCATGGATGATGATGGATGGTGAGTGTCTGGAGAGGAAGTGCACCACACAACATAAAGTGCATGGACACAGACGTCAAACATCAATCCATGCACATTCACCGTCTCTGTATATCTCTCTGTCTGTTCTCCTAAATTGTTGATGTTTCCAAGAGCCCACGTGACTGTTTTATTTTCAATTTCTTTCAAGAAAGTGTCTCAAGTTTCAAGCTCAATGATGCAGGTCAAGTCTCCATTTGTTTTCTTTTCCTTCAAACACAATTAAGTGAAATGAGGAGAAGCTGATAGGAGAGCGAGAGGGAAAGCGCGGCTGTAAGTGCTGAGCCTTATTAACAAAGTGAATCTTCATCCAGTCAGACACCACAAATAAATGGCCGCCCCCTTGAAGCTCTTAATCGGCCCATTAGTCTTAGAGAGACCACGGCGTCCTCCCCCCCGTCCTCCTCTCTCTGGCTCTTTGTATTTGGACCAGTCCAGGTCTATCCATCATCTTACATTTGCATGCCGACCACACATGCAGACTCTGCTGAGTGCACAGCTGTAGCTGCAACATCATATTTACTCTTTTACTTGTGCAATAAACACCATCTTCCTCATTTTCCTCTAGTACTACAGTATTCTGGAATATTCTATACACATAAAACTATTTAAAACTAAAGATCTAAATCAGTGGTTCTCAAACTTTTTACACTTATTTATCTCTTCAAGTAACACAACGATGACCAACATTAACACAACAGCACAGGCCAACATGGTTGGCTAGCAACAGTACATGAAGATAATTTATTTGTAATATATCATACACACGCACACACACTGCAACAACTGAGTGGTAATTTGACTCTACAAATTATAAAACACGTATAAAATACATTTATTGGAAGTTTTGTTGTGTACCTCAATAATTTTGCTCCTTGCAGCGACTTTTATTTGCTGATCTATGATTTCAATCTCATTCACTTCACACCGACTGCGTGGCTCTGTGCACAGATAGTGTCTAAGTGACTATGAAAGATGAATATGCTCGGTAATGACAGGGTTTGCTGCACTAAGTCAGCCTAATTAATCACCAGACGGCGGCCTGTGGGGCCGAGAGATCTGCACAAACACAGTCGCTTGCTCAGAGAAGTACCGTGCTTATCTGGATGTGACCTGTGCTTATTTTCTCTTCACTTTCCTCCCATTTCTCAGCTGCCATCCGCTGCACCCTCTGCTAATTCAGCCACTTAAAACCTCATTTCAGACACAATTAGCCTTTAGCCTATCCACTCTGGGTTTTTTTCCTTCCTTTGAACCTTTGTGAACATTTTCACAAAGGATCATCATTGAGGTTGCTGTGGATTATTACTGAGGTTACTGAAAGGAAGTTTTGATCACTTACAGGAGAAAACATATTAAAGGGCCTTTGAGGGAAGCCCATTAGGTCACTGTTGAAACCCTCCCTTGTTGCTACACCGCTGTTATCAGAAACGCATCCTTTTATTCATTGCTTTGCCACCAATTTTTGCATTTGAAGAGACTCAGACTGAAGCACAGTTCAGCCTCGCTGCTGATATTTATTCTAAGGTAGCTCTTCACGGCAAAGTTTCCAAAATTATGATGCTCATCAGTTTTACTCTGCAGGCGAGTCACAACATAATTTAAATGTGTCCCCTCTGCAGTCGCCCGTAAATTGGTTTATTTTTCAAAGGCACATACAGATAATTTTTTGTTTGCTTAAGTGTATAAGTAGTGTGTGTGTGTGTCCGCCTGTGTGTCTCCAAACCTTCTGAGCAGAAACTATTTGCAGCTACCTGATAACATTAGTTATCTGCTGTTCTGAATGAGCACAACAACAGTGTTTATAAGTGGTCCTACTACTGTGTCAAATGCAGATTCAATTATTTATATTCCATTTCAACTTGCTGAAATTATGTTTCACTGACGCCTTTAAGAGTAAAATTCTCCTGAAAAAAGGTAAATGGGTGTTTTCATCAACAAATAGTTACTTTTTTTTTTTTACTTCAGGAGGGTGTCTTGGGTGACGCAACATTGTCTCTATGAAATAGTTTAACTGTCAGTGCTTTGTTCTTGAAATTCCTCTCAATAGGAACATTTAATTTTACAAAACTGAAGTTCATTATGACCAATTTTATTAAAAGGCTTCACTGTTTTAGATGCATATAAAAAATGTAGCGATATACCAATAAATATTGTTATTATCCTAAAACTAAAATATTTCTTTTGAAATATAAAGGTTAATTGCATTTCCAGTGTCAATGGTTCTGGAAAAAAAGTAATCAAATCCTACAAATGCTGAGGTTTGGACTCAGTGCTCAGAGCAAAATAATTTTGGTAGTAAAGATAAAGATGTGGAGACTTTTTTCCACTTTCTCTCAGAAGGTGAGTTATTGTAAAGACCCTTTTCTTTTTGTATTTGACAAATACACATGTAGCAGACTACCTCACTACTATAACAGATAAATAGATGTACTTTATTGATCCCAGGCTGGGAAATATTCCTATGTTCTATCACAAAGATGCACAGTAATGACCAATATCCACCAACTGCATGAAAAAATTGAGGTTATTCTTATGGATATATTTCTTAAAATTTTTCCAAATTAATAATTCCTTTTATTTGGATTAGTCACAAATAAAAACGGGTATGAAACATATATCTACCTAATAACCGCCATACTACAAGGATGATAAATGTTTACTGTTAAGGAAGCAACAACTATCTTATAAATAATGAAAGAGCAGATAAAGGCTTGTGTCACCTTCTCCACCTGTGTTATAGCTGTTATCTCCTGATGCAGTCAGCAGCAAATATGTGAAGACATAGTTAGAGGGAACAGTGCTGCAAGATCATGGCTTCCACTGTGTGAAGCGTCAGGATGCTTTGACTGGAGAATGTTCAAAAAAGGAAGATGTAGAAGCTGAAGAAGGAAAGAAGATAGAGGAAGAAAAAACCAAGACCAAGATGTAAAGATGCTGGTGGTGTATGAAGGTATGAACCCTTTCTGGGAAAGTAATAAGAGTAATCACTAACCTGTGCAGGCATCCAGGTACTTCAGTAAAGAATTAAATGAAGTCTCAGAGGAAATAAAGAATGACTTAACCTTTGTATCTTGAAAAATGAGACTCAAAGAAGACTCACATTTCTAGTGTCATATACAGTATATATATATAGTTTTAGAATGAGCCAATAAGTTGTTGTAAGCACAAATGTGTATGTTTGTCTACTTCACCATATTTAAAAAAAAGATGGAAGAGCACCCTCAATATTGTTGCACCAGGACAATGACAATAAAGACTATTCTATTCTATTCTTAATTCCAATGTTCCTGCACTCTAGACACCACGCAGCAGGTGATGGTGCAGAAACTGAGGATGGAGACATCAGACCAGTCATTGGACCTGAACGGTTGTCCCTCCCTAAACATCTGAGATTGGAAACCATCATTAGGCTCTGATTTGCCCTCATCAGCCCACCTACCACCAGCCTCATCCTTAGATCATTCCCCAGATCATTATCACATCCAACACTCCATCCTCCACCCCTTTAGGCAGGTTTTTTTTTTCATGATAATTAAAAGTAAGATAACACCCCTGTGCTGCAAATACACCACACTGTCTAGAGTGTGGAGAGGTTGTTGTTGTTTCGTCTAATATGTGAAACTGGGCAACATCTTTATTTGCATTTTTCAGGGTAGAGTCCTTATGAGGCAGTAAACATCAGTAACGTTTTAAACCAGCAGGAGGAGATGCCATCGTTCTTCCACATGTGGATGAACTCAGTGAAACAAAAAGAATAAAAAATTGCAACTTCTCTGTTCTGAAGGGCGTCTTTACAATCTGAATGGATATTAGTAGATGGGTACGCAGGATATCAAATTATTATTTTCTTTTGCAAATATCATTAGGCTTCTTACAAAATTATACTTCCGACTGTTATTATCCAGTGCTACACAGCTAAAGTGAAACTGTGTTTACTAGAAAACAGAAGACAGGGATTTTGGTTAAACAAACTACTATTAAAGTAAAAGCTTTGCTCACTTTCAATAAATTTGAATATAGTTTTATCTGAAAATTGTGCATAGTCTTATTGATATATTGTCTCACGTGATGACACTATCACTGCATTTTTCAGTATTGTCATGGGACTCTGCAGTAGTGGAACTAATCAGTGCTGGGGCGGGGCACAGGATATACCCTAATAAAGCTAATGATAACATCCCTTTAAAACATAAACATGGCCACAACAGCACGGCTCACAAGCGTAACACATAATCGCCGATTCAATTGTAAATTTGCATGTCATAAAGTTAAATGTCAGTCTAAAAGTTTAAAGGTTTTACCAACAATGACAACAACCTCTATAAGCCCATGTATATAGATCAATTTCCACAGGAAATGTTGCTATATATTTTTTAAATATTTTATTAAAAGTTAAGGAAATAAAAAAGTTCCGCAGCTGGCAGAACATTTATACTTCCTTTGGTGAAGTGTTATTCCTGGAGCAAAAGTATTTTGATCACTTGTCATTTTTAATTTGTGTGTACAGTCTGTTTGACTACTTCACATTAACAGTGTGAAATCAGTGTGAATAACACTGGGGTTTTTTAAACAAAGTGCTGCTGTTAATCTTCATGTCATCCTGACCTGAGCGGGAGTGTTGCTCTGGAAACTAAATTTCAAGATGTTGGAGTGAGAATGTTTAAACAACAATGATGCATTTTAGTCCTTCAGTGGTAAATCTTTTTCTAACTGCTCAGAACCCGTAAATAATGGGAGTGTTTCTTGCTGTGATGACAGTACTATTGCATTTGCAACACATTATTGAGGCAAAAAAGTTACACATCGAATCTGCAAGTAGTTGTTTTTAAACAACAATTTAAATAGAAATACTCTGTGACAACTTAGAATGTTGGATGCTGTTTAACTACCTGGCTACAACACGAGGTGCCTCCCTCCATATTTAATACCATCATAATATCCTTTTATCATTTTAATGTCAAATTCTCAAATGGCTGCAAAGTTTGCATAACCAATCCAACTATCACTGACCATCCAAAGGGCCTTAAGCTAGGCTACAACAACCCAGGAGATAGTCTATACTACAGGAATGAAGATGATTTCCTTTGAGACCAACTGTAATAAAAGTCATGCACCTGTATTATTTCTGACTGTGCTGTGGTACTGCTCTACGTCACTGGAACGTAACCTATCAGGATAGATGCTAAGCTAAGCGACAAAAATCGATATCGCGAAGGCACTTTTTGCTTAACGGAGAACGTTTTAACCCAAAAATAAACACAACGATTGGGAAACACAAGCGAAAGTACAGATACTTAACTTACCGACACATGCTTTCGCAGAGATGCCTGAGATATGGCCAATAATTTCCTTCTTTTTCTGAGTCATCTGCTCCACGGGGGCCCACTGCTTGGCAATTCTCGTAATCCATTTCCTGTTTGGCACCAGCCATCTTACAAGGACAGGATAGAGCCCGTCTGTTAGTCAACTTTCTCTGGCTACAATAACATAGTGCGAAATCCGCGCACGCCCTCGCAAATTTCTTCAAATTAACGCAGATTGTCCCCCCCACATTTAATTTACTCAACTACGGGATCGTTTCAAATGTAGCGAAGTAAAATACTTGAGTCAAAATATGCTTAAGTAAAACTTTAGTTACTTAAAACAGCTTAAAAATTACAAATTACTAACAAAAAATACTCCATTATAGAGACGTGAGTAAATAAAATTCGTTACTTTCCACCTCTGACGTTAACAGATGAATGTGTTAAATAAGCCTGGGAGCATGGCTCTGTGTTTCTTCCTTAGTTCATTGACTTCATCCAAAGGCCGCAGCCTGTGAAGGTCTCCTCACAGTGGCTGCTGCTTTCACATGTGGCCACATGGTGGCTCTGCAGAAGAAGCCGTGTGTTCACATAATTAAAAGCAAGATGTTAGGACATAATTCTTAATTAGGCTTTTAATGCGATAAGAGTGATAGCAGTGCAGAATTCTGCTTTAAGCTGAGGAGTTCTTTGTAACAGAGTGATTTATGAACTTTAGAGGAAGGACCATGTAATTGGCTGGTTGTCTCTCAGGAAAGCCCTCATCGGCCACCGCGCAGGGATTCTCAGAGGTTTTGATTGGCATTTGTGTGGAAGAAATTCTTTCAGTTGCAGTATTTCATGTCTGAGGAGCAGGATGGAGTTTCCCTCTCTGGCACAGACTCTCACAAAAAGTAATGTTTGGGACTTAAAGGTCAGTACATAAACCTGTTTAATGTCAGGCTGAAAAAACTGTTTGACTGCACTCTCTGGTGCCCTGTGGCAAAGCTGGGTTTTTATGCTGCATCTGTAACCACCTCCCTATAATAATGTCACACTGTAATGACCCCCACATGAGGAAGCACTGCTACCATGTGCAAAAGTGCAAAGTGAGAATATGACAAATCCAAGCTGCTGTTTTTATTTTCACACAAGGATAAAAAAGTCCTAAAGTTAGACATTGGTTCCCAAACCTTTTTTTTTTTTTACAATGCCCCACTTTTGTAGATGAAGAGTCAAGCCCCCAGCCTGCAGCGACACATGTGAAAACGTCATAATGCTTCAACGATGGAAACAAAAGAAATAAAATTTCAAATCAGTGCAATTATCCCACTGTGCCATAAGTAAAGAAAACACCCCCTCTTCCTCCCCTCCCATAGGAAACCATTTCAATATTACTGAGTATAGCTTTATTGATCTCTTTCAGTACTAAGGCCACTTACATCCCAGTGATGACCTTAGGCTTGTTTGGCTAAAACTGTAACCTTCAAGGTGTGATTTAAGACAGAATTCCATTAATTTGGACACATAGCACAAGTCGGGACAAATGTCATGCCTGCAGCCCTTGCATGAACTTAGAAGGAAGAGCCTGGAGGAGTTAATCTACACACACACAAACGCACACATCCTCTTTGAAGGTCATGAGCTACAGAGTCTTGATTTTCAAATATTGTATAAATGGGACCTTATTTGACCTTGTTTTTTTGTAAAGCCTGGAAGTGGCTTTAATGAGTCAAAAATACTTGTTACCCTGAGGCAATGTTTACCCCTCATCCTCTCTTCTAATGAAATATTTCCACTGGCTTCTTATTTTCTTTCCCAATTTTTCAAGGTTTAAGAGCCATGCTTAAATACTCTACAGGTGACAAAAGCTAAGTTGTTTTAATCAATAATAATAATTATAATATAAATAAATAAATAAATAAATAAAATTTTGCTGAACAATATGCTACTGTTCAGAACCGGTCTGTAAAACCATTGACTTGATGTTATTGTGAATATATAACCATATACTTTTCACATATTGTTTGTACTCCATGTCGTCTTTTGCTGGTTTTGAATCACCACAGCAGTAGCAGCCACACAGTTTTCTCTACTTACCTCCAGACAAATGTTTGTGTCCATCCTGTTCTAATAAAAATGTTAATTTAACGTCTCAGTGGGGAAGGAGTTTTTTTTACAGCTTTAATGGAAAATCCCGACACCAAATCTCTCAGATCCTCCTTTGTAAAAGAACAAAGCAGCTTAATTTTTCTCTACCCTTTCTTCCCCAACATTAAACTGTTTAAGACAAAGAGTTGAGCTTAAGAACGGCTGCAGTGATAAGCTGCAGGATTTCCTGAATTGTGTTGGAATCACAGCAGCTTTGATGGTTGTTCATGTAGAGAAATCGTTCACCTGTAATGTCTCTGTGATCAAAGTGGTGCATATGATAGAAACATGACAGCAGTGAAAGTCCTGGGAAAAAGACATGAGTTTTATAGGAATTACACCATGCAAAAAAAGAAAGAAGATGCTTTGGAATAAAATATCTTTTATTCCCCTACTTTTCTGGGTCCAGGTCATGGGACCAAAGAGGATCAGACTCCTCCTCAGTCACTTCCACTAACTCCTTAAGTACTGAGACCCAGACCAAATGGTGAAAGTTGAAAAATCGCATATTTTACTCAGACCAAGCTGCATAATCTGCCTCAACTTTTCTCTACTTTTTAACATTTATTTGACCCTCAATCACTCAATAAAGACTGTGAACTATTCCTTTTTAAGCAGTCATTCACGCATTTTTTAATTTTTTTTTAACCAAAACCCATGTATTCTAATACGTTTTGAAAAATGTATTCTCAAGGCTTAAAAGTTTCTTTCACTAAAATCTATTTATGTAGTTCCCTGACTGGGTTTTTGGAATAGAAAAGTTTTGTTGTGAACTGATATGTCTGATTTACAGCCTAAAGACATCATTTTGTAAATGTATGTTAGTTTACAATTACATGGCTCAACAGGGGCAAACAAAGGGCAAACAAAAAATAATGATACTCTCAATAAAAGTAAACAAAAAAACGTTGTGCCTTCAGGTTAGCTCAGTTGTTAGCCTAAACTTGGTAAAAATAGCCATAAGCTAGGAAAATATAAGCTAACATTTAATAATATTTTTATGAAAAGTTTGAACTTAATGCTAAAGTTGCTTGAAAAGTGTTAAAGTTAATGTGGTAACTGTTGTCATATTTTCTAGGATCAGGACTGTGCATGAATTCCTCTCCCGCTAACATGGAATCCCTGCATGTCTATTACCAGTAAAATAAGTTTTGTCAGCTGTATTTTTCTTACTCCTATATTTTTTTGGCCACCAGTCACTGCCAGTTCCACTCAGGATGTTTTAACTTCAAAAGTTGGAAGAGAAATCACTGAGAAACTCAACGGGGGTCAAATCTGATCAGACTGAAGCTGCATCTCCGCCTCCCTGTCCTTCAGAGCTGTTCCAGAACCTTCTACACAGACTGGTGCTGTGGTAGCCTGTTGAAAGATTTAAAGAAGCTCATTCCTCACAAATTAAGTTTTCAGAATTAATTAACACTCACTAAATCCCACATCCTGGCTCTGGCTCATTAACGTTTCCTCTCAAATTAATGATAACGACGTGGCAAATTCACAGAGGATCAATATAATTCTGCAATAAAGTCACTTTAAATAAATGTTGAAAAACAAAACTGTTGTCCGCTCTCTCATAGTCATGACTTTATCTTAAAATATTGACCGGTGCCAGTTAGTAACTGTCATAATTTAGGTTACGTCAATGAAGTTAAAAAAGTTATTTTCCACCATTCCATATCATATTTACCTGCTGATGAACTTAAAGCAGAAACATTTTTTTTTTTATTCGAACAGGTACATTTTAATGCAGTACTTGTTCTGTGACACATCTTTTACACTTATACAAACCATAGACTATATATATAAATGACAACTAAGCCGATAGGAACAAAAAAAAAGTTTTATAAGTTGGTCTTTTTCACAGCCATCCTTTTTCATTTGCACTGTTACACTATTTTCACACTATGTTTTTGCTGCTTTACTTTTTCTATTTAATTTAATACAGCCTCTTTAGTTTAGCGCCTCCATTTTGCCTTCTTTTTTGATTTCCCACATTTGTGCCACCTCAGGTAACACAGCAGAAGCAAAGTGAAAATTGCAACTTCCTGTTAAGTAACATGTTTGTCCTTTCACCACTACTTGAGTAAACTAGAGACAGAGAGAGAGAGAGAGAGAGAGAGAGAGAGAGAGCCCCCACCCAGTCTGCCCCCCCCCCCCATCTTCCTCCCTGTCCTGTGGGCTCCGTTTTCTCACTTCTCTGATTTACTGCAGCTCTTCTCTGCCTCTGTCTCTGTTCACCTCACTCCAACTTTCTTATGCACTCTTTTTACACATGCTCCATGCCAAGATTCTCTATGCATGTTGCCAGTAGGGGGCAGTGAAACTCCACATGTTGCCCACACGTCCGCACCCGCTTTTTCTTTTTTTTTCTTTTCGCTCACAAACAACGATCAAGCAAAAAAGAAAAAAATGTTTAAATGTGAAGTAAAACCTTTCGTTTTTCTCCTGGCTTTTATCATTGTTAACTCTAAGCTGCATTTCTTAGAGTCCTTAACACAAATCATTTAGAGAAGCTGTTTTTTTTTGCCGTTGTTTTTCATTTCAGCATCTCTGTCAGGCGTTAAAACGTCGAAATGAGAACTGAGAGGATACTCTATATTTTTATATATATAATTTTATTCTACCATCAAAACCTTTTAAAATTATCTTTATTTTTTGTTTGATGTCATAAAATACTATAAAAAAGTAAAAACAAAATCCATATTTCATATTTCCACAGTTAGCACTTAACGAGCCAACATTCTTCTTCAGAATAACAATCAAACTGTAAAGTGTTGGATCAATATTTGCTGACAGATTATTGTAAAGGTTTGACTGACGTGAAGATGTCAGAGCTAAGACAGAAACAGTCTTTAATCACACAAACAGTCATATACACGTAGACCGCTTGTGTGCGCCCCCCCCATTGGTCACACCATGGATCTCATTTCATGAGGTGGAATTAAAACCGACTGAGACATAATCCCAGTGTAATACCCCCCCCACGCCCACTCCTCCTGCGCTCCACCATGTCCTTCTCACCCCATTTTATGCAGCAGGGAGAGAAAAAGGGTCAAGGAGGGTGAGGGAAGTATTAGGTGCAAAGCGTTGAGTAAAGACAAGGGGGCGAAAAGAGGTGAAAAGCCTCAAACTTCAGGATTTAGTCCATAAGTAGTAGTTTAAAATTCTCCAATGAATCCTGACCGATAAGTGGAAAATTCCTAAAACAACAATCCAAGTTGAATTGACATGGTTGACTGTGACCACATTGTATACACAAACATTTTCAGACTGGTGAACATGGATTGCAGTGAAAAATAAAATCTGTAAAACAAAAAAAAAACTTCTTTAACTTCTTTT